TCAAACGCCCTCCTGACAAACTTCTGCTGCTTCACAACCAACTCCCACATGGGTCACTTCTTCACTCTCTTTTCCAGGCAAGAGTAGAAAGTAATCCTGACATTGCCTGCCTCACTTAGAGCAGGAGGGATGCAACGAACTATTGAACTTCTCTCTTATCAATTCCTAAACAAACATAAAGATTCAACTTTTTATATTCTTTCCTCTTCTGGATAACAAAATCTAGCGCCTTCTCAGATTATTGGTCTGAAAACTTCTAATGCTTGCCAAATGGGCAGGCTCTTCAAGTTCTGAATGATTTCCACTTGGATTGAAGTATTTTTCTGGGTCACCCATCACCCATTATTCCCCATTAAGAAAGATTCAGTGTGGCAAAGGAGGATGCATCATTTCTTGTCCTCAGGAGATGGCAGCAGAGTCTGTGGCATTTGGTTATGAACTAATGTTACTACATTTTTCACAGAAATGTCCCTAACTACCAAGCCACATATACATGCAGAAAGAACCGAACGGTCAACCAGTACTCAAAGCACAAGACTGGGGTCTAAAGTGTTTCAGTAAAATGGCTACCACCCCTCTACTACCTTCCTACCCTCCCAATCCTTCCTACTTCATGGAATGTCTTAATCTGGTTATGGAATTAAAGTGGTCAGAGTTATAAATCAGGTTGAAGTACCTATAATAAACTATACTGCGTTTTTTATAAACTCATTTAGAAGCTGTTAAGCCATTTGTAAGCTTGCATATAGACAAGGTCTAAATTTACTGTCCATGAAAATAAATGCAGATTACAGCTCACACTTGGACATTTCTAGGTTCAGAAAAAGCCTAAAAATAAAGTGATTTTCAAGCTCAATTACCTTTTTGTCCTGCCTCCAGAGCACATGACCATTCAGGAGTTTTCTCATAAACCTGGAACTTCCTCCCATATATATTAAGCTTAGCACTGTCCCGAGCGAACAGAAACAATTCAGCAGCTCTGCACAAACTCTGTCATACTAACTCAGGAGAGGAAAAAACCCTCCCTGTTCTCCTCAGAAACATGATCATCTTCAGGACCTTGAATCTGGGCAAAACAAGCAGAGGTATCAGAGCTTATCCATAATGACTCCCCACACTTCAAAAACAATATAGTTATTTTGCTGTTATGTTCAGTACTCCTCAGCTGTGATGTCTCTCCTACAAAGGCAGCCAGAGCAGCACAAGCTTGCAAAGTCTCAGGGTTAGGAAGTTCTCTGGGGCAGCAGGCACCTGTTGCATAGGACATAGGCTGTAGGACTCTTCCACAGCAAGTGAGGAGGCCCTTAGGAACTACAAAACCTGAGACTTAGCTGCAAACACGACAAAGTTGAGAGGCAATCTGCTAGGAGTGTCTTACCCAAAAGTAGTGCACATTTCTTTCTAAGGCTGGTTTAACACACAGCACTCTGCTCACTCCCTGTTTCAGTTTTCCACCACGTGGCTCAGGATGTGCTGCAGCATGACAATCTCCCAGGTGTTTCCCATCAAAACTGGAGAGGGAATTGGAAAATGTGACAAAATAACACATGCACAGGATCACAGACACTGGGCCCTGCTTGTAACGTGTACTACTGGTTCCACGTATATGGCAATCCTGGTCACACAGCAGGTACGTGCATGCAATGGAGCACATAGGTCCTGCAATAGCCTCATGTAATACGATTTTTAGGGAAGGCCATCAGGAAAAGGCTGAATGCCTTATTTTCATAGGTTTCATCTCAGTTGAAACAAGTCAGAAATACACCCTTACTTTAAGATATCAAATGGCATGGACAGCAATCAGCAAATGCTTAAGAATCAATGCAAGACTTTCAGTTTTCTCTCCTTAAAATCAGCAGCATAACAAGTGTAATAAAAACCACTGAGAAACAAGTGAATCAACACCATGAAAACAGCAAAGTGCAGGGAGTATTATTTACATCTGCTCTTTAAAAACAGCCAGATTACTACAGACAGTGGAACCTGAGTCCCTTCCACTAGTATTTTTCCTCATGCAAACACAGCTCTAAAATAGACTTTCAAATTCAAGAACTAACAATAATATATAATAAATGACAAAATAAATTAATCTCCAGAGAATCACAAGATTCACTAACAGAACAGTGAATTATTTCATTTTTTCAAGTCACATTTAAAAAAAAGGGAAATGTAATGATACTCTAATCTATCAAAATTGTTCAGAAGGTGAGGATAGAGTGAACATAAAGCCAAGTCTCACAAAACCAGGTGGAAGCTAATAGCAGTTCTCAGTTCAGAAGCTGGTGCTTAACTCATCAAATAAGAGAAAATCCACAAAATTGTAAGCAGCTGAGAAAGCACAAAAATCTTCTGCTATTTCTGAAACCAGGCGTCCTAGGTAGAAGAGGTCACCTAACTTCAAACACCCTGATGACAGAGACACTACAACCTGTTATGTATTATTAATACACATCTATGTGCTATTTCGAATTCAGAGAGCTAAGAAAGACGACTGCAAGCAACATACGTTGACTACATAGTCTTTTAGATCTGAAATTTCATGTGAATGAACTGGATAGTTTCTTTTTTATTCTTTCTCTGCCAAAGTAGACTCTTCATAATCACAGCTGATAAAACATCAGCTGCCCTAACAGCTTCCAAAATCATCTCTGCATTTTGTGGTGTGGGTTACAATGCAGTGCATACATTCTCAGAAAAAAGTCAGATGGAGTCACTTTGTTCAGAAAGACTTGTCCACAATTTTGGATTCAATACTGAAGACAGACCAGATCCTTTCAAGCCCACCAGTTTCTGTATGCTGGGAGCTGAAGCTTTAGATCTATTTTTGGACCCATCTTTTGACAGTACTTGTACTTAGGGATCTTCACCAATCTTTCTAACTTAAAATACAATTTGGATTTTTTCCAAAGTACCCCTGTATAATTTATACATTCCTTTTGAACTATTCTCTAGTCCTTTGAGTCTCACTGTATTTAAATGGACTTATTTTTCAATTTGAGCTCTGTCAGCATATTTGCTTCCATCTGAATTTTTAGAGAACACCTGGATTCAATATGAGAATCTGCACAGGAATATGAATTTATTCTGCAATAGAACTTGCTGTGTGGTGCTAACAGTGTTTTGGCAAGACAGGAATATGCTGTTCTTCAAAGACATGAAAGAGTACCAAGAAGAGCAGAAATACCAAGTATAGAACCCAAAGCAGTAAGCCCTGAAGCTGAACCAGAAATAAAGCTGCCTATAAGTAAAAGTAAAGTAAGAGACATGAAGTTTGGTGCACTGGAAGCAGAAGAGTGGTATGAAGGTTTTTTCTCCATAGCTTTTTCAGTTTAAAGAAAAAGGTACAAGAAGTAAAAAGTCCACAAAATGAGAATTCCTAATCACTGCAAGCAAAGCCAGGCTCAGTCCTCGGGGAGCACTAAGCACGGCAGACAGCTCTGGCTGTGCCCTGCCAGGAGATCCCCACAACTCCAGCCTGACACGCCTGGGCCACTCTCCCACTCACACATCCAGGCCCCAGTAACCCTGTCCCACGACTGACATACAACCAAAGAAAGGCTAAGCTGTAGCAAACAGGAGAATGGTCAATGATGGATAAAAGGAAACTCACTTCTGTCAGGAGCACTGTGGAACAAGGATCACGTCAACTGCCACCTCATCTTGCCTGATCCATGCTGCCTGCTCTTCCTGCAAACTCCGCTGCCCTCATTACACGGGGACTAAGAGTGGGGGTGCCACGTTTTATGTAGGGTGGGGCAGGGCTGTCCAATACCCCAAACACACCTATTTTATGTCAGCTGAGAGTCTGTTTATTTGCAATCATCCCTGAACCTCTTTCAACAGACAACCCACCAGTCCCTCACGTAAGAACCAGCTAAGAGGCTGTTATCAAGCAGTCTTGTATGACCTCACCCCTATTGCTAATAAGCTAAACCTCTTACCATTTCTTAGTAAAAGCTTAAGTGATTCAGTTTCCATTCACCCTGTCTTAAGCTGCCAAACTGGAATAATAATACCCACCATTGCATAACGCCAGTTCCAAGGAGACTGGTTTAATGCTCTTTTGAGAAACAGCTGGGGAAAGCTTCCTTTGTATCTATGAAGAAACTGAGGCATAGAACTGGAACAAGCAAATTTTGTGGAGCACAAGTGATGCTGAAATTAATAAACATGGGGTGGCTTAGCATACATTGAAAAACCTGGACAAGGTCAGGCAGGTCATATGACACCAAAGCACAACTGAGTGTAAAGGCCTCCATTCTCCAGTACAAAAACGGCGCCTCATTGCCGTCACTGAAAGGAAATCAGTGTTTTCAGCCAACCAGATTTGAAATCTCCAGTTTTCAGGAGACAGAGAGAAGCAATGCCAGGCCCAAAGCAGCGGATGTGCTACAGAAACACGACACAGAACACAGCTCGCCTGTCATCCATCGCCGCTGTACCGCCTCCACGTAGCAATTAAAGACTTAAAAAAACAACAAAAGTGCTAAGAGGATGTTACACACAATAGCACTGCAAAACCACACACATACGAGGCTGGCAGCTTTTTCGCATAGAGTGAGCGGCGCTTCTTTGCTACCGCCAGACAAGGACCAGACAGGGACGACAGTCGGCCAGCATCCCCGCCCGCTATGAAGATCGCCAGACCCCGCAGGGAGGATCCCCCCGAGCACGAGGAGCCGCCGCGTCCCGCCCGCTCCAGCACGGGGCTGAGTGCAGAGAATCCTCGCCCCGGCGGCGGCACAATCGTGACGGCGCAGGAGCCCCGCGGGCAGCTCCAGCTCGGGAGCCAAAGGGCGCCAGCGGCGGCACCGCCGGTTTTTTTGGCCCAGAGGGACTCCCTGGCACATACCCGCCAGGGGCCCCGTCCCAGAGGGCGGGAGGGACGCAGCAACACCACCCGAGCTCAGAGGCGGCGGCACCGCCCGGGCCCGCCCCGCTCTCCGCTCCCCTCCCAGGCAGCCCTGGCGGGCCCGGCCCGGGCTGAGCCCCGCACTCACCCCTTCATGGTGCGTCCGCGGCCTGCCCGGCGTCCGCACTGGCTGCGTCCAGGGCCCGGCGGTGCGGGTGCGGCTCCGGCCTCCCCGTGCTCAGCGCGGGCGGCTCAGTCTCCTCCTGATCCTGATCTCGATCCCGATCTTGATCTTGATCCGATCCCGATCCCGATCCCGATCCCGATCCCGCTCCCGCTCCCGCTCCACATGGGCCTCCGCCCGCCCCGCCCCGTGACCCCTCACCTCACGCCGCGCGCGCGCCCCCGCCCCGCCCGCCATGACCCGCCCGCCTCGCCCCGCCCGGCCCGCGCGCCCCCACCGCGCACGCGCCGCGCCCCGCGGGGCGGGGAAGGATGGGGAGGCCTCGCGTATCTCGGGGGTGGGACGGGGGTATCATCACGTGGTGCGGAACGGCCAATCATCGCGCTCTACTGCGCCCAGTGCACTCCTGCGCGGAAGCGGCCCGGGCTGGCCGGGCGAAGCTCTGCCCGGAGTTGGGTACAGCTCGTGCCCGGCACTTCCGGTGTGCGGCGCGGCGCATGCGCGCGGGGTCCGGTGTCAGCTGATCCAGCGCCTCCTTTGCCGCCGCTGGAGGGACTCGGGCGGATTCGGGCGCGCCGGGCCGGCCCAGGTGAGACGCTCAGCCCTCTTTCCCCCTGCCTTGCATCGCTGCTTCCGCCTCTCTCGAGCTGCACCGGCGGTTGCTCTCCTCTGCGGTGAAGGGGGGTCGGCTCCCGCCGCTCCCCGCCCCGCTCGGTCTCTGCCCGGGAAGGACGTGGTCTCCCCGTGGAGCCGCTCCAGAGGGAGCGCGGCCCCCGGCTCTGCGGAGCGGGTGTCGCCGGGGCGCTGAGCAGCTGACCTTCACGCAGCCGTGTCCCGGCGGCCATGTGCTTCCCCTCCCCGCTTCGCAGGGAGAAGAGACCTGGAAAGTGAAGCAGTCCCTGAATGAAAAACCTTCTGAGCGCTCGTCGAAGACACCCAATAAGATGCTTTTAGGGTTATGCCAGATTTCCTTACAGAAAAGGAACGGGTTGACAGCGGCTGGGTTCCAGTGCCAGGTCATCCCACCATCTTGAGTGGGTGGATCTGAATCTTTCGGTGCCTTGACCGCAACACAGCAGAGAGCGAGCAGCAAGGTTATGGAAAAGGAATGTTGCTGCGGGCTTCTTACTGCAGCCCTTCCGTGGCAGAAGAGCCTCCCTGTTGTTTTGAGGTTGAATATCCTGATGGCTCATCAAATGTGCTTCCTTTTCCTGTAGCCAGTGACAAAATTCTGCCTTAGATGAGGTGTTCTAAACATCACACTTGGCATTCACTTAAAGGCAAGGAAGGAATCTTCTATGACTGGATTTTGGATGGTATTGTTCATGTTACAGGTAACTGTGACATTGGAGTATGTGGCACATATGTGTCGAGATCCATCCATTCCATGCGGTTGCCCAAAGTGATTTACTTTCTTAGGAAGAAAGTAAAGTCTTTTTTTCTTAAGATTCTACTGTCTTCCCTCAGAGAATTTGCACTCCTGCTGGGTATAAGAGCAATTTGGTGATCATTTTATTCATTGTAATACAATACTTCATTAAAGTACACTGGCTATTTGATCTAGCATGGTATTTTACATGTTAATTCTGCTTGATGAAGTGGAGAGGGGGTGGAAAAGTACGAAAACCTGCTGACAGACTGCTAGAAGTGATTTATTAGCAAGAACATGCCAAATACAAACTGGCATTTCCAAATGGAAGTTTGAGTAACTGAGGCAGATCTTCAGTATGTTTTAAGTTGTGCTGTATTTGTGCTGACTTCTGCACTGTGCAGATCTGCAGCAGCTGAAAGTTTGGCTTCTCTGTGCAGTACTTTCAAAGGCCTTTTCAACGACCAGCAAATATAAATATTTAATAGCATCTCTATTTTATTATTTTCTATGTAAGTATTCGTGAAGTGAGATCAGAATATACAGGTCTTTGAATTACCAAAAATACTGCAGATTATTTTTGCTGTGCCTGTCAGTCTATGACGTGAAGTCCTCTGGAAAAGCTTTAGTCTTTTATGTGGGGAAAAAAACAGTCTTAATTTTGTGATCAGGTGGCAAAGTCTGACATTCAGAAATACTAAATCACCGTGGACATCAACTTGAGAGAACAGGGAAGGAGAAGTTAAGACAACAGTGGAAAATGGCTGCTGGCATCAGCTGACTGTTCAGAGGGGGGTTGTAGTCTTGTGTTGCAATAGTAACATAAATCTTGGTTTCCTGTAAATGCTGCCTTGTCATTTTCCAAAAATTATTTTCTATAGGTAGTGCTAATAGGGTTGAGCCATGAGTGATTAGTGTTGTTTAATTTTTATAGAGCATTAGCTTAAATTTAGCATTTATATTGGTTTAAATATATATTAGCAGTTTTATGCCTCATTGGCCCTGATTTACAAAGTCTGTGGGCCTTAAGTGTCCTTCTGTTGTCTAATTTTTATTTTCTCAGTATGACTTCATGCATTTATCTTCCAGACATGCATGGGTGCTGGTGTTACACGTTGTCATCCAAAGGTGCTGTAGACCAGCAGGTTACCAGATGATTCCCCTGAAGATCCTTTCAGAGGCACCTTGCATTCCCCCTTGTGTTTTGATGCCATAATACTGTGTCTTTGGGTTCTCAAGCCCCCCCTTTGTTTTGATGCCATAATGGTTTGTCTTTGGACTCTCAAGCTCTGAAAGTTCCTACTGATGGGTTTCCCTTGTGGTTTTAAATTGCATGTTTGTGAGCTGTGGCTGTGTTCCTAATTATTTTCTAGAAAGAGTAAAAGGATTACAGGATAATCTAGTTGGGGTCTTTGGTTACTTTGATGTTGACCATAAAATGTTGAATGTTGATGACCAAGTAGTAATCCCTCTTTTTTTTTTCCTGTCTTTTTAAGAAAACTTCACAAAACATAAACCGTGCATCCAACCAGTGCTACATTGCCTGAAATATATTCTTTTCTCCATGTTTGTTTCATTGGTTAAAAAGTGGGGGATTTCAGACTTGGAAATATTGTTGAACAATGATCTCCACATAATTTTTTTTAGGCTGGAATTTTACCAAGGAAAATAGACCATCTAGTCAACTGGAATATCATGCTCATTCATTCTTACTCAACATCTTAAAACATGTGACTTCTTTAGCCTTCCAGCTGGGCAGAGAGAAATGGTGTTCTACTCTAAGAGAAGAAGAAGAATGAATTTAAACTTTTCATCCTTTTTTTCTTGCACAGAATAAGCCAATAAGCACCTAAATGTCCAGTATGCAAAACCAGCTTAGACTGGATCTTCTGTTTGTTATTGTTATATCTTCTTTTATGGTATAAAAAGCTTTTTGCTTATCTTTGATGTGCTCACTCCACTCTTCCCTTTGGGAGTGGACAGCTAAATTTATAACAAATTCTTGGGTTTGATCATCTCTCATGACGTTAAGTCCTGCACTCTCATAGATATTTTTTGTGTGGTTACTTTATTTCATCCAAGCATTAACTTCTCCTGTATTTGTCAAACTCTCAAGCTCAACACCCCTTTATCTTAGAAACATTGACCATTTGCTGCCAGCTTTTTAGACAGCCATACATTACATAGCTGTTCTAACAGACTTTGCTTTCCAAGGCCAAGCTTTACTGAACTGATACACTTACTTTGAAAGCCAGTAAGATGTATGTGGTTAAATCCTGAAAGTCTGACAGACCTTGTTACTTCCACTTAACCAAATGGCAAATAAAGACCAGTTTTAGCTGCTGAATTTATTTGCTAGCTTCATCAGCATGACACGTCCTCTGAGCTTGTGTAATGGCAAAATTCAGTGTGACTGCTCACTCTGCTCAGAAATAAATTGTGTGACGGTGGCCCCTCTTTGAATTTTGTAATAGTTTACAAAATTTTGGGGAGTCTGTTATGTATCAAAAGTTATCGTCAAGGACCAAAACTAGTATGGGAAGCTGCCCCAGTTAACAGAGACTCATTGTGCTGAACAGGTAAATGAACTAAAGAGACTGCTGAAAATAGACCCATTGCAGATACAAATGCTTGAGAGAAGTGATATTCTAGAGCGTCTCTGTGATATAAAAGCCTTATGTTTGTCCTCCCTAATCAATTGAAAAGTGCTCGCGTTGTAAGGATTCTCATAGCAAAGTTGAAATGTTGGTGCTTTGGTGAGTTTCAGCTGACCAGTCTGCCCAACTGTGTTTCTGCCAGACAGAACCCCTGAAAAATGCCAGAAAGTGTACTGTGAAGATGCTGTGTCCCATCTTTAGGCTGCTGCAAAGCTATGCTTGCTTGCTGAAGTGGTTTGTGGTGGTTCATGTAAAAGAGAGGTGGTTTGGATGTCTGTGATACTGATCTGTGTTGTGGTTGGGTGTGAGGAGGTATAGAAAGGATATGGGAAAAGCCATAGACTTCATAGAGAGACAGCTGTGCCTTTATGAGAGTAACTTACAGCTGAACAAAAGCTTTCAGATATGCAAGTTTTGTGCAAGAGCCTGAAGAATGACTTGACAGTTTGTTAATATCTGAGCAAAGAAACTGCATCTTCCAAGAACTTCAGTTAGTGAGACAAACATTTGGTTCTTGTTACACTGGTATCAGTACTTTATTTCCTACTGTGAAAGTAAGATCTTAAAAAGCAGCTCTTTGAAAAAAACCGTAAGACAGTGTTTTAGACTAACTGCAGACTATGTTGGTAAAGATGTCTAAATAGGCAATTCGATTATGTGAATTGCATACAGATCCTTGATATTTTGAGGGTTTTGTTATCATGAGATAAATTTGCGTGACTTGGTAGATATTCAGATAACTACCACAATATGTAGTTTAAACAATGTTAAAATTTAGTATGTTGGAAGGCTTTTCTAAAGAGGCTGTAAATACTTCAGGTAACTGAACATAAAATTTCCAAATGTAGCTTAACTTGCTTTAAAATGTATATATGCGGTTTTCCATTACAGGAAAAGTCAACCTCAACCTAATTTCCTTCTACTGGAATGTAGTGCCAGTACGTGTGCTGTGATTCCGACTAAGTGTTTCATTATACCAAAGGTGCTATAAAAGAGTACTTCTATCTGCTAGGGCTGCTGGGTCTTTCTCAAGTACTTTCATGCAGACTCACTCCTGGTTCAGCTCTTCAAACTAGC